CCGTGCTATGAGAGCTCGTATAGGAGGTTCTCTGGCTCGCTGTAAACACCGAAAATGAGATTTTTTGTTAAATGAGGTATACCTGCGAGCGGATCGGTGATGACTATGGCGGTGACGAAATGCACAGGAATTTTTCTATTTTTCTCTTTTTTTTCACTTCACTTTTTTTCTCTCTTTTTCTTTTTTGAAATTTTCACTTTAATCTTTTTCTTTTTTTCTTTCTCTCTTTTTTTTTTTCTGCTGCTTTTTTTTTAGACTTCTTAAACTAAATAACAACTAATAATAACTAAGAAAAAATAAAATATAATTAATCAAACTAATAACTTATAATAAAATACAATTAATACAACTAAATTATAATAACAACTCATAATAATAACTATAATACCAATTGATACTACTAATAACTAAAATAAAACAACATATATATACCAAGTTAACTAAAGAAGGTCGGGTAGGAGGCGGCTGACGGAGCTGGGTTTGGCTTGAGGAGTCGGGTTGTGGAGTTCGGCTGCGGTTAGGTGAAATCGATGGGAGAGATCGGGCTGGGTCGGAAGGGAGGCAGAAGCTGCGAGAGGAAGAAGTCGGTTGCAACAGCAGTTGGCTACCGCGCGTGGAAGCCGAAATAGGGCAGATGGGGTTCGGATGTTCAATGGCTTGCGTGGATGGCGTCGGCTAGGGAGGAGATTTGCGGCCACAGGTAGGGGTCGGCCGGCTGAGTTATGGCAGTTGTGGCTTGATTCGTGCGGTGTAGAGTCGGATTGGCAGAGAGATGATGCGGGAACAACAGTGGAGGAGGAATATTGATCGGCTAAAAGCTGTAGGCCGACGGGTTGGTTGCGATTGGATGGAGTTCGGCTTCAGCAGAGGAACGAATAAAGGAGGATATCAGAGGTGGACGTTGGTTCTGGGAGTTTGCCTGCGATTGGGTGGAGATTTTCGGCTGCTTGCGTGAAGGGGAGATGGAGGTTGGAAGCTTGCCGGATTTTTACGCGTGAGGAAGAGAAGCCGAGAGGCTTCGTCTCTGTTGCCTTTTAACACACGAATGAGAGAAGCGACGGGGTGTTAAGCTCGCGTGAATGGACATTTTCGGCGCCGTTTGGAAACTGAGACACTGTAGCAGGCGGCGTGATTTGTACCGGTATCAATTTTTTTCATTTTATATATTATTTTGGGCTTGCTTGCAGAGGTCAACACTCTGCACATTGACCTATACTTATGCTTCTTCAACACTAGCCTCCATTACAAACCCCTAAACCTTTTAGATTTCCCTCAAAAACTCCATATCACATCTCACAAAATTGCCATGATACTTCCAAGTGAATCTATATGCTTTAAATCTCTCTCCATGCCTTAACCCAAAATGTGTATCCCTAAGAGAGCAGATGGTTATAAGGTTCGCTTGCTCTAAGCTTGGTTGGTCCTCTCTCATTGGTCACACCACGAATGAAATTCATAAAATTATCTTGGGGCCCACTGCAACAATTGGAAGCCTTGGATCCACACCTCCAAGTAGTGGCGGAGCCAGAAAATTTATTGAGAGGGGCCTAAATTAGTTCTTTTAAATTTTCCCTTAATTTTTTTCATTCGGGCTTGGGGTCAGCATAAACAATTTAAATAAAAAAAAATCAATTAGTATTTGATGCAAGATTTTTCACATTTAATTTTAATTTTTTTGATAAATCTATATCCACTCGAATGCGTTTTTTATTTTCTCTTCATCTTTATTGTTATTCTCATATATAATATTTGATATTTTTGAATTTGATGACTGCTTGAAATATATTTCTATAAATATATAAATGTTCAAACTTGTACTCAAATATGTCCTAAGAGTAATATCTTTTGTATAATTGTAAAATGGAGGAATTCAAACAAAGCTGCACATTCAACGAGGCTACTAGAAAAAAATTATATTTTAAAGCATACAATGATGAAGCCCACTTTTCATCAATAGACTTTATAAAATTGATAAATCAGCATTTTTTTTTTAGAGGGGATGAAGCTAGAGTGCAAGGGATAAAGTGCCTCATAATAGAGAGCTAGGTAGACTTTCTGAGCTGCAGCAATACGAGAGAGATGGATGAGGAGAGGCGGAAGAAGAAAAAAACTTGATGAACCGAAGTCATTTTAGGAACAAAAGTATGAGAACTCAACTTAAGAGCTTGGCGATCAAAGCTTGAGGCTTGGGATAGTCAAGCGGCCACCAAGCAATGTGCTGAACCAGAGCCCTATAAAATTGATAAATCTGATTTTTTTTAGGGGGGCACGTGCCCCACCTTGCCCCCCCTCCCTCCGCCCTTGCCTCCAAGGCTAGGTCAATTTAGGTGTTGCTAAAAAAATACTTGAGATGAGAGTTACAAGGAATGAAGGAACAATATTGCTTAAAGTTATTTTTTATTGGGATATGTGCAGAATGTACTTAGTAGGTTCTACATACATAGTGCCAAACCTTTTAGTACTCCTTTGACTACAAACTTTAAGTTATCATAGCAAGAAAAAAATCAAATTTTATATAAAAGGAATAAGTCCATATGAAAAATGTAACTTATGCTTCAACTATTTGCAGTCTCATATAAGTTATGATGTATGCATACCTAATTATTACCTAGGAAAAGGGAGTTATAAGTAGGTACACTGAAGAAGAGTGCATTGCTCTGGTTAAATTAAGCAATGAGATGGAGTGGTTATAACCATTATTGGAAGGTATGTTCCAAAGGTGTATAAAGAGTGGGCTAGATTGTAAAAATCATTACGTTATTCATTTATCAAAGAATATAATTTATCATGTATGGACAACACACATATTACCTTAAGGATTTACTAAATCATACTTACATATAATTTATCAAATTGATATTTATTAAATCTTACCGTCCAACTAAACATGCTCTTAGTTTTGAACAAAATAAACAAAAAATAAAGCATATTAGTTTTTCATGCTAGAACAAAAGACAAACAACAACAATAAAAAAATCCAAATGGCATGAATTCTACACATACAAGGAGTGCCATGGGTACAATTATCATACTAAGGCTTTATTTGGCACAATTTTCTTACTTCTTTTTAAAACAACTTTTTATCATAAAAAAATTTGGAATTATAAATTTTTGTACTAAAAAGCTGCCTTAACACACATTAAAAAAGTTGTCTCAAATGAAGTCTAAATGATATAAAACTACTTCCTGAAAGCTACCTAAAAAATATTAGCAGTTGTACAAGGTGCCACTAAGGTGCATGCCTTTACTTGATTAGAGCCAAAACACATTTAGAACTCTTAAACTCGAGTAGATGAAACCTTCCCACTAAATTCCCTTGCTGCCTCTGTGTCCTTCCCTCAAGACTAAACCAATTTTCCTTCTTAAATTTTATTCATTATTTTGAATTTCAATTTTTAGTTTTATTTGATTCATAAATAGAGCATGCTTTCTAGAATTGAATTTATTGCAATCCAGGATCCCGAATTTGTGATTTTGATGATAATAAATATTATTGATTGAATTTTCATTTCTCATATTATTATATATTGCATATATGTTTTTGTGTGTACTAACATTTCAGGTATATCATACACCATGCAAGAGGATTCAAGACTCAAGTTTGGGTAGAATATGATAACAAAGAGTATAATATATATTTCTTTTATTCTTATATTTCTTGAGTCGTAGTCCTGTAAAGGACGTATGCCATACTGACGACTGTACACACACACATAAGGGAGTGAGAAAATAATTTTTACATTTTGAACTAATCGTATTGTGCAATTAAAATTTTATTGTACAATCAACTGCTTTTAAAACGACATCAGTTATTTTTTAAATTAATTTTCTTTAAACTAATTATGCAGTATGATCAAGATCGTACTATATGATCTGTTCAAAATAGAAATCCTTTCTTCCAATCAAAATTAAGTGAGTTTTTAAAATTTTAATTATTGAACTAATCATACTGTACGATCACATTCGTACAGTATGATATTTGAAAACTTGTTCAATTAAACCTCTATGATTAATCAACCAAATCAATGATTAATTAATATAGACGATCGTATAACACGATCTTCAGATCATACTGTACCAAGAATGTTCATCCCGACAATTGTCTTGGACCCTTGATTTTTGCTCTAATCGTATCGTACGATGTTAATTGTACAGACGATTGGTAGAGATGATTTTTGGTTGTCCCATCAATTGTGTTGTACGATCACATATAAATTGAATTAATCGTACTGTACGATCTTCATATCTTATTGTATGGTCAAGTATTCAAATTTTGAAAAGTTCATACATGGACTATTCCATTGTATTGTACGGGATCTTATTTTTGAACTAATTGTGATATACAATCATCTATCGTACTATATGAACAATTATAACTTATTTGAAAATTTAGGGTTTTTGGACCCCTTTGTATTTAAGCTCTCTTAATAGACTTTTGGGAAGTCTTTAGTTGTTGGGTTTTCAAGAGAGAGCTTTTGAGAGAGATCTTGGAGAGCTTTGGGAAGGAGAAAGGAGAGTTAGTGTGTGAAGGGATTTCACACGGTTGCTCCAGCAAGCTTCAGCCTTGTTTCCTCCAAGTGTCTTGCTTGGTTTCTTGGGTAGCTCCAGGAAGAACTGTAGCTCGACGATCGTCGAGGTTCTCTTCCTTTACCATGTGAGTGAAAAAAGATTGATAGGTTATCTACCTTCACCAGGAGGGTAAAAAAGAGGTCAAGATTCTCTGTCTTCACTAGGAAGGTGAAATAGAGGTCAAGGTTTTCTACCGCACCGGGTTGGTGAAAATATTATAAGAGCTTCTCCGCCAAGCTATGGGGGCTAAAAAAGAGACACTAAAGGTTTACTGCAATACTTGGAGAGGAGGACTCTGGGGAGTGCACGTAGGTCATTGTTTGACTGGACCACTATAAAATTCTGGTGTGTTCATTCTGATTCTTATTTTATGTATTTTATTTCTCTGCGATTTATTTTTCTAAAAATTGTATGTTGAGAAAGTTATGATTGATGCATATTGATTTGATTAACTTATCATCACATTTAGTATAATTATTATTTCGTTAATTTGCGTTTGTATCGAGTGATAACATTGTTTATTTTTAAGTTATTGAAAAATCTAAAAAAGATTATTTTTTGTTAGAAATTTTTTAAAAATCAATTCACCTCTCCCCACTCTTGGTGTGCCTAGGGGCTGCTCAACGAGGCTTAACACCCTCCATTGAACTTTCAGAAGTTTGTTGCAATGTGCCCATAGTTTTTTTGGTCATCCTCAAGATTTGACAAAACGTCATGCTATAGTTTTGATTTAGTTTTAATTCATTCTCCACCACCACCACCAACAACAACATCAAGACTTTGTCCCACTATATGGGGTCGGCTACATGAATCCTTTTTCGGCAATGTGTACTGTTTAAAGTAAAATTCTCATTTAAATATAATAAAGAAAGATCATTTCTAATATTTTCTAACCAAGTCTTTTTAGGTCTACCTCTACCTTTCTTAGCATAAGTGAAATCTAATACCTCAACTTTCATAACCAGGTCATCGGAAGGCCTCCGTTTAATGTGACCAAACCACATAAGGCGACTCTCTCTAATCTTATCTTCCACTGGAACTACTCCAACATTTTCACGTATATGCTCATTTCGTATCATATCTCTAAGGGTAAAGCAACTCATCCACCTAAGCATCCTCATCTCTGCAACACTTAACTTAGTATTATGTTTCTCTTTTAATGGTCAATATTCAACACCATAAAGCATTACAGGTCTCACCACCATCTTATAGAATTTTCCCTTAAGTTTGAGGGGGACTTTTCTACCGCACAACAAGCCCAATGCATTCCTTCACTTCAACCATCCAATTTGAATTCTACTGATAATATCCCCATCTATTTCACCATAACTCTGAACAGTAGATCCAAGATATCTAAAACTTGTACTCGTATTAATGACTTGATCGCCCAAAGTCACAATCCTCTCACTAGGTCTATTGCTACTAAAATTACACTCCATATATTCAGTTTTAGATCCACTCAAGCGAAAACCTTGAGACTCTAAGGTTGACCTCCATAATTCAAATTTACCTTCAACTTCCTCTCTAGTCTTATCAACAAGAAGAATATCATCAGCAAAAAGCAAACGCCAAGGTACATCCTCTTGCAAATGCCTAGTGAGAACATCCATGACTAAAGCAAAAAGATATGGACTTAAGGCCAATCCTTGATGTAATCCAACAGAAATAGGAAAATACTTAGTCAAACCACCTTGTGTTTGAACACAAGTAATAGCTCCTGCATACATATCTTTAATGATTTGAATATAATCGTTATTAACTCTTTTCTTTTCAAGAACTCTCCATATCACTTCTCTTTGAACTTTATCATATGCTTCTCTAAATGTGAGAAAGCATATGATAAAGTTCCAGGTTGAATGTGAACAAACTGCAGTGAAATTTTTGAAGAAGAAAGAATGATAATCTAAATAAAGAAATAAAGCTTCCACCACTATCTCAAGCAAGAAGTTAAAGTCTAGAAACATGATAATTGAATACAATGACAAACAAGCTTTCAATCCAATGCAATGAAGCCTACCATACACAAGTGGTACAATTTATTTCTTGAACAAATGCTACCAAACTTACAATATAAACTTTGATAATAAAAAACTATTTGGATGCCAAATGAATCTGTAAACCCCATGCAATGCTCATGAGTTTGCTTTCACAGCTATGGGACTTCTGACATAGTGCTTCCCATCTGACCAGATGAGTACGCCAAATGAATATCCTTTTCTTATCCTTTCTTCAGTAGACTCGAAGTATACCTTAAACTCCTTCTCCTCCCCAATTTCCTTGAATTGCAAGACTTGAGGCTCCACTGAAACCAATATACCTTTAGGAGCTTTGATCCTTGCAGTGTAAGTTCCGGGTGAACCAACGTTCTTCACAGTGCGGGTCACGGTCATTGTCTTGTTGAGGCTAGGAATCGCAAAGGAGGGGTAATTCAAATTCTCCATCACTCTCTTCTTTATTGAACATTTGTAAGGCTTCCCCAATAACTTCAAACTTTGCGTCGAGTTAAATCCTAAGGCACATAAAAAGTTCATATAATCATCTATACCCAAATCATAGACAAGTCCTGGATCCATGGCATCGTTTGGTTGTATGTGTCCACTTCCATAGGCAAATGGTGTGGCTTTTCTTAGTGTGCCTTGAACTTTCATTGGCTTTCCAATGTTGTCCCTGGTTCTCGCTGTAAACATTATAGTTTAGTTAGGTTGTTGAATGGATTGAATTATATTCTACACTCAAAATCTGCATTGAATCTTAATTTAGGTGTCCTCTGACATAAATTCTCATGTGATTCATGCTTAATATGATCAATGTCTAGTTATGTAGGATCTGCTTAGCGCACATTTTTCACTTTGTTATCTTTTAGATCTCTATCACACTTCTGTGTGGCTATCGTTTTCTCACTATGTTTAAGAAAGTTTTGTGGTGAAAAACAACTATTTATAACCATATCTGCTAGAGTGTGGAAGTTGTAAGAAAGCCACCAACTTGGAAAAGAATAAAGATTTCTAATACCTAAAAAACAAGAAAATTTACATTTCCTATAATAACTCTATAGTTATTTTTAAAAACAACAGCAGCTGTCTCAAACAAGCCTATAACCTTTCAATTTACCAAAACAATTGGTAAATATAAATTGTAACAGTAATACCTGTTGTCATGATGGCTGATCTAATTGCAGCTGAGCTCCAATGAGGGTAAATTTTTCTAAGGAGTCCTATGATGCCAGCTACATGAGGGCATGACATTGATGTTCCAGACAAGAGCTTAAATGGCCATCGCCTGGAGTCGTACATTGGTTCAGAGACGGGTACAGCTTCAGTGTTGGATGCTAGGACATCAATTCCTGGCGCAGTGATATCTGGCTAATCAAATTAGCACATTCATTAGTTATAGTGACCCAAATTATGGCTAAAACCAAACAAATAAATGAAACTCTATAGAAGGATATTAAAGATGGTAGACACTTACCTTCAAAACTTGGGGAGTTAAATGATTGGGTCCACGAGATGAGAATGCCGCCACCATAGGCGCTGGTTTAACTCCTATTACAGTTTTTCCTGCTGAAATTGTTCCTCGAAGAAATCTAGAAGAATAATGCAGATGCTTTTTCAGTATATTTCATTAATGAGCTAAATTCTATGCCGCCAACTAGAATAAAGTTGCAAATCAATTTTGTAACTAGGAGTTAATGCCATTCAGTTATTTCATTAATGAGCCAAGTTCTTTGCCGCCAAAGAGAATAAGGTTGCTTATTAACTTTATAACCAATATTATTGCAGTTCGTCATGATCTGTTAGTTGTTAGTTGGGAGTTTTGACTCAACTAAAAGGTTTTGTGTTTGAAACTTACATATGTGATGCAAGTGTGAATTTTTCTTAATTGGCCTAAATGTCCTCTCCCAAAAAAAGAAACTTTATAATCAGTAGTTACATCAAAAAGTTTTTATTTATTTATTTGTTGGGTATTGCATTATTTCCCAATAAAATCTTGTGCATATTCACTATTGTAGTGAACAATAGAGAACATACTCAAGAACTTTTTCTCAAAATAGGAGTACCTAAGGGCTGCATGGAAATAAAAAAAACATTGCAAATAGGCGAAACTTTGGAGTGAATCACAAAATATTAGTGGACAAAAAAGCCCCATCTACTCATCATCTTAAGCTAATAGACAGTGCCTATATTAGTATATTAGAATATGAAACTTTATTTCACTTGCATCATGGGACTATCTCCCTTATAATATCCATCTTAATATAGCCCCCTTATATGGGAGTCCTTCAAATTGGCTCTCTTTCTTCTCACTTGGATGTTTTTTAACTCTAAGTGTCATACAACTTGAGTCAACTCAAACACTTAGAGGCTACATGGGAGTAATCTTCTCTTGAATCATGCTTAACCATTGTATAAATAACCAAGACTTGTGGAAATGGAACACATGAATAGGGGCGGAACCAACCTCTCATTTAAGAGTGGGCAAAATTTTTATATAAATTGACTAATATTTAAAAAAATAAAATGAACATATATTTCAAAGCAAAAAATTTGTACTTCATTATTATTGATAAATTGAAAAATGATTACAAGCTTATCAATCTATTTTGTATTTTTTTGATAATATTGAATTACAACTTAATTGGAAATCAAATCAAACACTTTTTTTTTCAATATAAGGTACTAGATAGTTGTTGAGTCAATCATCACCCATCTTACTACACAATTAATATTTGTAATCCTTATTGCAGAAAATGCTTTATCCACTATAGTTGTATTAACTGGTAAAATTCATGCTAAAATAATAAGTCTGAAAACCTAAGGATACACATCATCCTTCAACCAACACATGACAAACCTTATGAATCACTAGTTTGGAGTCAGCGAATAAAACAAGCATGAACAACTCAACCAAATCATTGTTAGGAGCCCCAAAACCCCCATAGAAGAGAAAATCTAAATTATAATTTAATATTTTTCACTCTAAAAAGATAAATGAAAACCAGACAATGATTAAATTCAATCTAATTTTTGACTAGTTCAATTTAAATTCATAAGAAGATAAATTCCATCTTAACTTTCAATTGACTTGAAATAGAAATAAGTTTTACTCTTAAGCATTTGAAACTAAGAAAATAAAACCTAAACAATAACTTGAACAAATGAAAGAGAAAGCAATTTGAAATAGGGGAAAGAAAACCCACTAGAGACACCAAGATCAAAGAAGATGGTGACTCCTGCTTCATAGGCTCCACTCTTTTACCTTCTAAACCCGCTCCCAATCCTCCTTGATTTTTCCTGCTCTATGGGCTACGGAGTCTGCCTTAGCTGTGAGAAAAGCCTCAAGAATTTCAGCATCTTCATGAGCTTACTGGTTTTCTCAAGATTAGAAACTGTTTTTTTTGCTGTGTTTGAGCTAGAGACAATTGTAGGCGCTAGGTGGGAACGACCGAACAAGACTTTGCGGGGCTGCGGCTTTCTTCATTCGAACCAAAGGCTATGCATTTTTTTTTCTTATTTGGGAGAAATTGGGTTGTCGGTTTGGGGTGAATTACCTAAAGTATCATTATTATAACTAATATATTGAAATTTTGAGGGTGGGCAATTGCCCATCCTCAAGTATTCCTAGGTCTGCTCCTGCAATTGATTCAATTCGAATCATTGACCCTGATACGACTTGTTAGGTGATAAATGGACATCCATCAACCCAAAAACTTAAGAAGGTGAATAAGGATCGCTATTAATATATTAGAAACTTTAACTCTTGTTTCACTTTGAATGTTTTATTATTCTACACTTTTACATTCATTTTGAACAACTCAAAAAAAAGTTCAAGCAAAAAGGCGATTTTTCTTACTTGTTGGTCTTTACAAAAAACTTGAGACGAAGGCCGATCTTATGACTGATCATTGTAGCTGGAATTATATGAGAAGCAACGTAACCATCATCCATATCATCATCAATGGCATGAATCATACCCACCCCTCCCGCATTGTGAACAAGTATGCTTTTTACTATCCTGTTAATGCCTCCTCCAAGACAAATGACTATCTTTCCTTTCGCCTTCAAAGGATCGAGAGAACCCAGGCGACACAACCGTCTGTAATTATATTTTGAAATCAGAAAAAGTTAACGATGCTTACATTCCATTAAAAAAAAAAAATTCACTATTATGCTGTACTGTTGACTGATGACATTAAAGTTCTAAATTATGGGCAAAGCTCTGTGGAAAGAAACATATTTTGAAAAGGTAAATGCGCCTAAGATGATTTACAGAGTCTTCTGAGCATTGTACATGTTGGTTAACACTTCGATATATAAGCTTTCTTTCTAGTACAAAAATTTCAAGTTAAAAGAATTTTATACTAGAAACCCGCTTTATAAGCAGGAAGAAAGCCCTCCCAAATGAAAACTTGGTCTTTCGAGTCAAAAAGAGTAGTTGTCTTTACTTCATAGTTGATTCTCTTTATAATCTGCAAAACATTTACTTCGTTGGGATTAGTTCTAAGTTGTTAAATCGCTATTGTGGTAGCTGAAGAACTATATAGAAAGGTAACTTTTACCCCTAGCATTTCTTCCAATTTAGTCAAAACAACATCTCTGGAAAATATCCCTTACAAAGAATAGTTATACTTCAAACATATGAAGTAAGAGCATGTAAGAGAATATGCAATTTTTTGGCCCAATCACTGAGAAGAGTTTGCTAAGCTAGACTTTGTGACTTTTCTTTTGTATCAAATATGCTGAAAAATATGAAGGATTTCATGAAAATTAACTTATCAGTCTTTTTTTTTTTGAAGAAATTGTGCATATTGATGTAATCGAATCAGCTTCAAGTACTTTGAAGATATTTGTTTTATATTACCAAGTGTTTGCTACCAGCCTAGAATCCTACCATAAACAAATGCATTAAAGATGAGATTTGTATTTTACGCGTCATTTCTAGAGACATTGTCAGCCTTGGCGTCAAATGAGTAGATCAAAGGGTAAAGCTTTTTTGATGGCAGACCCCAACCAGTCTTGCTCTTTCCCTACAAAATCAGAAAAAAGAATTAGTATATTTGCATTTTCATACTTCAGTTCATACCTATATATATTTATGTGTGCAAGAACTAACAAAAATCTGTCTCTTATTGCTAAGAGTGACAAAGTTGGTGAAATCTCTGTCAAGTGAGCTGGCTGCCACCGTTGTCACCCATGGTGCAGAATTTAGCACTGAGGCCTTATCAGGACCATCATTCCCAGCAGAACAAACCACAGCAATGCCATTTAGCATGGCATGGAAAGACCCTATAGCAATTGAATCATTGAAGTAGTCTAAGGAATGACCACCAACTGAAACTGAGAGCACGTCGACGCCATCGTGGATGGCCTCATCAAAGCCGGCAAGGATGTCGGAAGCGGTGCAACCAAACTCCCAGCAAACTTTATAGGAAGCCACATGAGCTGCAGGTGAGCCACCCTTGGCCGTGCCGCTGGCAAAGCCAAACAAGCTAGCATTGGGCACAAAATTACCGCCTGCGGTGGAGAGGGTGTGTGTTCCATGGCCATGAGTGTCCCTTGTTGTGCCAATACTGACATTGAACGGTATGCCTACCATTGCTTTATAGCCCTTGTCAAAGTATTTTGCACCTATCAGTTTTCTGCAAGAATAGAATCATAAAAAATGTTACTTTTCATGCGAAATCTGTTCAATTTTAGTGATAAAAGGTGAATAATACCTGTTGCAGACAACCCCAGATTTATGGCAGGATCCTTTCCATTTACCTGGGATTTCTCCCATTCCATCGTTAGAAAAACTTGCAGATTCAGGCCACACACCTGCGTCAAAATTTGATTTTAAGTGTGTTAAAGAGAGGGAAATAGGTAGATTGGTGAAGAACGGACTGATTTGTAGGAGAGTTAGATGAAAATAGCTGAAGGTTGAAGATGAAACAACCTGTGTCAAGATGAGCAATTATTACATCTTTTCCATAATTTGCCTTTGTCCAGATAGAATATGGAGGAACAATTCCATTTCTCTCCAGCCCAACAAAATCCCAAGTTCTTGTTGTATGTAGTTGGTTGAGCTGGTTTGGGAACACGGATATCACATCTGGGTGTTCTATGGGCAGCGAGCAATTGAAAATTGAAGTTATATCAGAGAGACAGAGAGGAGAAAAGAAAAATCATAGAACGGCTTTCTTATATATTTCGTACCATGAAAGATTTATTTTCATATTGATTACATATCTCACATATTAATTACAAATGATGCTCTTTCTCATGATTGAGAAAGTTATTGATACATTATAGTAAACAATAATCGTATAGTGTGAATTAGACAATGGAAGTTGGAAGAGTCATATGACTCAGAATTATCTTCAATAGATTGTTTTTGTATGTTTAGTTGTTTGCCTTTATAGATAAGAAACCATAAATCAAGAATTCCACTATAGATCTTGGTATTGACATTGGGTGTAGATAGCCTGCATTGGCCTTGTAGTCGATGAAGTGTGTTTTAACATTGTTGGTGATGATACCAACAATAATAATGATCATATAATAATAGTAATAATGAAGTATGTTAACATTATTGGTGATAAAATCAGCAAGTGTTGATGTAGTCATATAATAATGACCAAGTTATTGTAGTTAGGTAATGATGATCAGAGGATTATAGTTGTGTTATAGCAGTCGGAGAATAATGGTTGAGAGATGGTGGTTGAATGACTATGGTTGGGGGATTATAATTGGGTAATGATGATTGAGGGACTGTAGTGGGGTGATGGTGGTTGAAGAACCATATTGGCACGATGATGTTTAGAAGGGTCATATCAAGATATGATGATTGAAGGGCCTATTCAAGCAACAGTAATCAGAAGATCAAATTCTGATGATGGTGGTTGGAGGACTTTTGTTGGGCAACAATGATTGGTGGATCATAGTTGATAAAAGACGATTAAAAGATTGTTGTTAGGTGAACGTGGTATTTTAGTTGTGGTTCGACAAAAGAGATCGGGATGTGTTGGTCTAATAATGACTATGGCATTGGTTCGATAATGGTTGTTGGATGGTTGTCTAATGAAGCTTTGAGACTCTTCAAATCATCTCTTAAGAGTTCAAGCCAACTTTTATGTAGAGAATGTTAATCTTTTTAAAAATTTGGTTAGTGAAATATCCTGTAAATATAGCTAAAATTTAGAATTGTCCATTCTTTGAACATTAAATCCTTGATGATGTTGAAATTACGTGATTTGGACTTGTTGATTCTTCTCAATGAGTTGCTAATTTTGGATAAGTATAAAGTATTTGAAGATCATTTGATCCTTACTAATACAATTAGTAAGTTGTTCAGTTTAGTTATAATTTTTTTCAAAATCGGAATTGGGATGATTCTCAATATAGTTCTAAGTATTCTCAATTTAAATATGCATTAGAGTTCATACCCGATCATATCGATTTCTCAATAGCGTGTCAGTTTTATTTGATACAAATCTCTATCAAATAATAAGATTTATGAATACAAATTTCAATATATGGATGAGTGGAGATCAAATCTTTTCATATGAGTGTCAATAAATAACCCGACCCGAGAACCCGAAGAGAAAAATCTGAGTTTGGGTTAACCTTTTTGATAAATTGGCAAAGTTTGGATTGTGATTTCTTATCCGTTTAATAAATGGGTCAGGTTCGGGTTAACCCACGAACATATCTTTGACCCCAAAATATTTTGTTTGATTTTTTTTTTTTTTGCTTATGGGTATAATCTTTTTATTTTTTAATTAAATATCTTAAATTTTATAGTTAATAAGTTATCTTTTTAACCAAAATTAATTAATAGTTTTACCCCTCTCACTGCAATACTGCCAAATATATTGCATTTAGTTGATCTATGTTACATCCTACCTGCTCACTCAAACCCTAAATCAATTGGTGGATTTTATCCAATGTTAAAATTTTTGCACTAAAAAACTGTTTTATAAAGCAATAAGAAAACCGACCAAAACAAATCTTAAGCCTCACTTTATCTAAAAACAAAATATTTAAAAGATGATACTACAAATCATATGTTATAAAACAAATAATAAGTATGGTATTTCAAGCAAAATAACTTCTAATTATAATAACTTTTATTTTAATTTTAAAATATTTTCATCAAAATATTAGATTTTTTTCAAAGATGAGGGTGCTCAAGTGGATGAGCAGTTTTACACATAGAGACAGAATATGAAACGAGTGTATACCTATGGTAAGTAAGATTGGAGAGAAATGAGAATCATTGATGACCCAATTAGAAGAGTAGTCATATTAGATCTAACTTATGTTAAGAAAGATAAATGTAAATCTAAAAAAATTGATTAGAAAGTATAAAAAATGATATTTTTTATTTGTTTTTAAATGAGAATTTGACTCTTAACTGAGCACAATGGAGAAAAAGGATTTATTGCAATGACTCACTTGAGATCTGCGAAGCCTGTTCCTCATCAAGATATGCAGCAAAACCATTGATGTGTTTGGTAAAAGAGTGGACGATAGCTTGTTGAGCCTTCTCCTTGCTGTTCAAGATAAATATGAACTGATATTACTTCACATCTCGAAAGCCTAAGGAATTTGAAAAGGGTATTGATTACCTTTCAAAGAAATATCCCAAGAACTCCTTATGGAAATTAGTTGCTCGGTTGAAATCTTCTGTTGTTGCATCTTTTCCATGATAATGACCACCAAGATACACAATGTAAACCTTTAATTATGACAATATGTTATTAAGGTTAAATCTTCATAAAACTCTTTTAAAGATTAATGATTTATTCTATTTTTGTTGTCATGAATGCATATAGATATCACCAAATCATATAAATTTTTTGTATATTCTATTATATCAAGTTCATCATCTTTGTGCATTGTGTTCGTTACTATTAACCTAACAATTGGTGTTCAAACTTTGACTAAGTTAAGAAAATTATGAACAATGGCAGACACATAGGTCAAGATCAATAAATTTGATGGTTGAAATTGATTTCAATGACTAGAAGGTACATATAGAAGATTTTTTTTTTTTTTTTTTTTTATCAAGGAAGTCCTTTGAAAGGTCAAAGCATTATATCATTAATCAAGATGAGTGATAGTTAATGGACAAAAAAATACTTAAAAGTTATTCATATGTGCTTTACCAGGAAATTTGTCTTCATATTCTCAATAAAAATATCATAATTAGCATGATGAAGGTACCATCAAACCTTTACAAGAAGCTCTTTGTTGTGAATAAGGTATATTTAGGCATATGTTTTTTAATTTCAAAAAGTTTGAAGGAACTTTTTATGAATGACACATCATTGAGTTTGATAATAAATTAGTTATGCAATGGGGATATCATCATTAATGATAAATTTTATTCTTATAGTATACTTTTATCACTCCCTAAAAGTTCATATGATGTAGTAACAATTGTTTGTAGCTATTATGGATCAAATGAATTAAATCAAAATATTGTTAATGATCTCATCCTTAATAAAGCAAATGATAGTGATATATATATATATATATAAGTCCTTAATCTTTGGCCTTGAATATTGATAACAATACTATGCTTCAAAATAAAAGGAATCACTAAGGCAATGAGATTGAACAGATGGATATACAACGACACTATCAATCTACTATATCACCTTCATTGACAATAACACCATAAACATATGTGTTTATTTTACTAAAAAAAGTATAGCTTAAAATGAGATTGATGCAAAAATCAAATGTTTGTGAACATACAATATATAGAGTATGATCTCATAGATTAAAAAAGCCACTCAAATATTAAGGAAATTCATATATAAATAACAGTCATATAAACTCCCCCATAAAATACAGTCATTCAAAGAGTACAAATAATTTTGAAAAAGAAAGGTTAGGCAGCATGTCATTATATGCGCAACTATCAAAAATATTATGGGATAATTTGACAAACACAACAACACACTTTATTAATCAAGGATTAACAATAGCTTTTAATGTTGGGCTTCCAAAAAAGCTTTGATTTAAAACTCGAGGTGTGCACTAACATTTTAAAAGTTTATTGTTGTCTTTCTTATATGCATATTGATCATAATAAAAGAGAAAAGCTTGACCCAAATAACAAAAAAATAACATTACTAGCTATGATACCAATAATTTTGGCTAAATATTTTTAGATGTTGAAACAATTAATTTCAATGAAATTATGTGGAAAGAGATGTCTTAACCTCTCTTTGAGAATTAATTGTGAGGCATCCTAACTTAAGTTTTGACTTTTATATGTTTACCTATTTTGTGGGACTGATAATCTTTTAGAGTATGTCTTAATACCCTAGCTTAATTAATCGAACTCATAGGAGAGTTTAGAAGATCATCCTAGGATCATACTAGGGTTTAAGACTTATATTAAATTGATCAAATACATATTTTAACCTTATTTTACCAACCCAAGATAAAATTTTAACTTTATACTTTGCCTAAAAAAACATCACCCTTAATGGGACTATTGTAATCTTAATATACTCTTCCTTTGGATGATCCCTTTTTAGTCCTAATTAGTCATTTTTTGTCAAATTTTTTGAAGACATCTTCTTTATGCTTTTTGATGACTTGTCTTAAGAATCTTGAATCTTAATAACTTCTAATGACAGGAAATCATCACTTCTTAAAGACTTGTATAAAGATGCTATTGTCTCATGATAATTCATGTCTTCTTAATGACCATATTAAGTCATCTTTAGTTGACTACTTTTTCTCTTGAGAAGTCACCACATTGATAACTTGTCCCAAGTGCTTGCCTTTTCCATTTGAGTTCTCCCAAGAGCTTGAATCTCAATGACCACCCTAAAGCGATTAAACCCTCATGTTTATGCAGATTTGGCCAATTCCCTTTTTTATTAAGAAGTTGCTATGAGAAAGACTCGCCATGATAACTGGCCTCTCGGTTAATTGTTCTCCAAAGGTCTTGACATTTGGTAACCTCATAAATTGGTATGAGATATAACTAAAAGAAAGAAAAAAAAATTAAAAAATATAGTTTTCTTTGTTTGAATAAATCTTAGTGTAACAAAACTAAATAAACATGGAATGGAGGAATCTTATTTCTACTTCATTTAAGCAAGTCATTCACTTTTATTTAATGCAAGTCCCTCTCTCTTAGGTTGATGTACTTTTTCTTTCATCTTTCTCATTACTTATAGTCATCCGAGCACCATGGAAATAAAAAGTGAAAAAGATTAGATTAAGTTATAAGGCAAAATCAGACTAAATTTGTCCCTAATGAACTCTCAAAATGGTTGACATTCGATGGGTACATAAGAGTGATAAAGCTACACATGGTAGCCTATCCCAAAAAAGTACTAAAATGCTTGAACTAGAAATTTTTTTCTTTTAGAATCAAATTAGCACATACTTTCCTTAATTAAAGCCCATAGAAGGGTTCCCCAACTTGGCAAATTGCATCATCACTAGCCCTTACTATTCTTACAAACTATTTGCAAAGATTGGGAGGTTAGCCCTTATTATTTTGGTCAAACTTGGCCAATTTATTTCTTTCTTAAGAAGTTATCACCTTGGCAGCTTACCCCTTGAATTTTTCCTCTTTCTTTGAGTTCTCATGAGAACTCTCATCCTTGCAACCTTCTTAGAGATATCATCTTTTATCATTTTAATTTTTTCCTTACATATTTAGAGTTATTAACTACAAATTTATATTTTGATATTTTCCTCTATATTTCTAAGGAGTACAATAAATTATATGGGCCAATGCTATAGCCTCCTACTATATGGGCAACTATAGAGCCTCCTAGGCTCCTACTACATGGGCCAAATAAAAGAGCTTGGGCTAACATTCTTAGTCATGAGTGTTCTTAGGCATCACACTTGAGATATAATTAGTATTCTTAGCATCACAGTTGTCTATAGGAAATCTTGAACCCCACTCCTCCTTTCTAGAAATAAATAAATAAATCTTATTTTTTCTCCTTCACCATTCAGGAAAGAAATATCTAGAAATTTTTTTTTTTTAATTTTTCTTTCATTGATTTTTGTTTTGGGGGCTATCTTATACCTTTTGGTGTGATGCATTCATTTTTTTTTGCATGAGGCTTTCTTGAAGAAAAAATTATTACGTGCGGCCTTCGGACGTGCCACGTTATCGAATGCATAATTTATTAGATAACGTGGCACGCCCGAATTTGCCTCCGTACGTGTCTGGACACCACACAGAACAAACTCTCTTCTTGAAGCCCATATTAGGTCTAGCAATAACAAAATGATCAAAATGAGTTTGAGTCTAACAATCGTGTGATAAAAGTCTAAAGATCACAATTAATTTATATGTATTTTTTTATATGAAATAAAACATATTTGATATCTTATAAATGTATTATCTTTATTTTTATTTAATATTTAATAAGTTGATTTATGGAATAGTAGCAATAGTCACCAATGGAGTAGTGGTAGTAGTTGGCTAGATGCATGATGGCAACAACTTTGGTGGGATAACTAGTCGTTTGTGATATTTATTTTTAAAAATATTCAAAATATTTCATAGTTATTTTATGCTTTTAAGAAAATAAAAATATTCAAAAACATATCCTAATTAGACCTTTTAGCTATCCAACCATAAGAAATTCTTACAAAATAAATGAATATATAGAACAAAAGATGAGTAAAATATAAGCAAAATGTACAAAGAAAGACTCTCAATTAAAGTCCTTTAATAAAATAGAAGAAATTGACTTCCCTTAAATTTAGTCCTCTAATACTTACCTTGTTGCTCGCAAAGACAGGCAAGAGCAGGCAAGCAGAGATGAGGAAAGTGAGTAAAGCAGAAGGAGCTCTCATCATCTTGATCTCCATTTCCTCTCTCGCACTTTCTGGGATTCGAGACCTTCTCACCATTCAGATATACAACAGATAAGCAGGCGAAAAATAACTGAATAACAAGTAATCAGTGTAATTTAAAGCTCATGAGATGAAAAAATTATTACGTGCGGTGTCCGGACGTGTCTTTAGGCCAATCTGAATGCACCACATCACCCAATAAATAGTTCATTGGGTGACATGGAGCGTCCAGATTGGCCTCCGGACGCGTCCGAACTTCACACATAATAATTTCTCCATGAGATGATACTGATTTCATGTGAAACATTTGTGACCGTTATAAAAGATGGAAATAGAATTTCGTTTAAAAAATTTGAATACAAAAAGAACTTCAGATATGTTACTATTCTGGATTTTAAGTACTGAGTTGTAAAAAATATTTATAAATTAATCATACTTTTTTATATTAAGCGATTTTTTATCATTCTTCTTCTATTTTTTCATTCTTTTATCAAGCTCAAGCTCAAGCTCAAGCCTGAGATGACTCATACTCGGCTCGACCCGTTGACACCCTAACTACAAATATCTCATTAAGAAAAAAACAAACAAATAAGAGAAAGACAATATTATAGTCATATAAAGTATTACAGACAACTCACTGTGGAGACTGTGGAAGAGATGAACGGAATCAGTGAAAGAGAAAGACAAAGAGATCAGCAAAGTTCCTGTGGATAGTGGAGGAGAGGATCAATGGCTCGAATAGGAAGAGCAAGTCATGGCAAGGTTTGATGATGATCGAATACAAATATACTTCAGTGAATTATCTTTTATCCCAAAAAAGTTTGAAGAGAAGTTTATTTATATTGGGGATATTAGTTCTAAAATGCGTAATAAAAGGGATAAAAACTACAATTTTCTTTTTTTATTCAAGCAATGAATAGAAATATTAGAAACAAATTTATGTATTTTTAGAAAAATTTAGCTTTATATATCTCAGAATACGCGTAATTGGTCAAACATTCATATTGTTTTTTTTGGATAAACATGATTGTTAGCTCATTTTACTTTGGACCAAAATGCCTCTGTTATATAAAAATATAATCCATAACTTATAAAGGAGGGATGATTCCCTCTAATATTACGAAATTATTACGTGCAGACATCGGATACCGTCATAATACAAGCATTTGCCTTAATGCACTTTGGTTATAAATTTATCTTCATTTTTTTTAATTATAACATAATATTCAAGTGAATTAAAATGTTTGTATCATATAATTTTTTTATAATAATAATTCTAACAAAAAAATTTTAAAACTACCGGTCCTAAGCTCAATTGAGAGCATTTTAAAATCGATAATTTGTGCCCCACACAAAAAAAGTGATTATTTGTACTTGCATTTATTGGTTTAGGTAAGGTAAATATATTATATTATTATTGAGGAGTAAAGCTATGACTAAGCTAATCTTATTAAGGAGATGTTAGTATGTTAGATTGAGGTTTTAATATTGTATATATTAATGTAATAAGAGAAAAGTATATTAAGATATTATTAGATTTATTGATCCCATAAACCATTTCAACACAGTGAACCTTCTCTTTCTTCTATGGTTCATAAAATCATTCAATGCTGCTTCTCTGCACTTTCAATTTCAAAAAAGAAAACAAAAGGAAACCCCACAAATTATAGGTGAAGGGTTCTTAAAACCCCTTGGACTTTATATTTATTGGACTTCTAACATAATGTTTGTTACCATCAGACCACCGAAGCAAGCCAAAAACATAATCTTTTGCAACATTAACATCTATTGGCGCCAAGCTAAGTTTAGAAGTTTTTTCCTCGCCAACATCGTTAAATGTGAGCTTTGTTGGCTTCACCTTCACCATTGTCCCGACTGGGCTCGAATGCGTTCCACATATGTTCATGGTGTGCCCACATTCTTCAATTTTTGAGTGATAGTGATTGAGTCTTCGAGGCTGGGAATTGTATGATTAAAGGATATTTGAGATCAACCAAAGATGGAGCTTTGGATGGGCATTTGTATGTCTTAAAGGTGAAGATTTGAGTAGAGTTGTAGCTGAGGGCACAAAGGAAGTTAGTCAGTGACAGCAAGGTTATATACAAGATTCAGCCTCAGTTCCATGGCTCGGTTGGGTTGAACATGATCTAACCCATAACTAAAAGGGTTAGTTTTGTCAAAGTTGCATTTATCGGAATCAAGACCAGAAGGTGAGGTTGCTAAACTAAAAGCAATGTTAACACTCACTCCTTGAGCAGTAATATCAGGATAAAAATATGAGGAAAATGTTAGGATATGAAGATGTTGTTGTTGGGAAATCTTGAGTAGGAAGAAGCTTCTTGATCTTTCTTGGATGAGAGGGAGAAGGAGAGAAGGGAAAGAGAGGTTTTGGAGGAAAACAAAACTCAACTTTATTTAATTTTTTCCATCAAACATATACAAGCCACCCCTACTTATAGTAAAATAATTATAGGGGCAAAATAATCAAACCAAAACTAAACATTTAAATATAGATCAAATATCAACAATCTCCAACTTAATCTAGATTTACAATGTCTAAACGGAAGAAAAAAAATCGAAAGAGATATCTCCTTGCTTCTTTTTATGGACCTAGAGTTGTCTCCATCAAGAATTATGTCCAAGAAATGACCACTTGCTTGCACTAGTGTAGCCCTTGGCCTCCGATACACCCATCCAGCTAGCGTTTCCAACATGAGGCTCCACCCTTTCAATCACAACCTTGAAGCTTGCAGAGCAGCATGTGTGCCCTGTATAGTGTCCACCCACACCCTATGCAACACCCGCCTATGCCCTGCACATCACCCACGATCCGCACGTCCGACATCCATCCTGATCCAGTTTCATTCCTCTTCATCACGCACCCGTGCGTGCTCTGATCAACATCCCTGATCTCGTTTCCATTGGTCACCTCATGTCTTCTTTCTCTATCCCACTCGTCACCCTCGATCGTCATGGCCCATCCACGTGATCCAATGCACAAACAATGCCTGTATGAGCCTACAAAACTCGCACTGAATGCTCATTTGAAATCACTGCAGCCCCAACCACGCCAGATCCTATGTGAACTACACTTGGCCTTACTTTATGGTTTGACTCCATCCTCCACTCCAGACCCACGTACCAACGTGCCCATGCGTGTAGCCTCCTGCAGCCAGGCTTCATCCCCCTTGTCTTCCTCTTCGAACCTATTTATGCGCCAGCATGACCCACACTCACCGTTGCGAGTTTAGCTCACCTAAGGCCCACGCGGCAAGTCTGCTTCACTCCTGCCTTCATGCCTTACAACTAGCATGCGACTTATTCAGTTGCCCATGCTATAACTCACAATCACAAGCCCTCGTCTTTGCTTGCTTTCTCCAGAAACCTGCCATCCGCCTCCCACATGCGGACCATCCTGCATGCAAAACTAAAACCAACCTACATGTGGCCAAGACTTGCAAAGCATAACCTGACTCTGGCTGGTCTCTACTCGAGACCTCCCAACAGCCTCCTCTCTCTTTCTGGACTACAAGAACCTTCGTCCTTTCTTGAGATCATCTCCACCAGTATTTGATACCACTTATTGAGAAATCTTGAGGAGGAAGAAGCTTGTTGATCTTTCTTGGATGAGAGGGGAAAGGAGAGAAGGGAGAGAGGGGTTTTAGAGGAAAAAAACTCAGTTTTATTCAATTTTCCCTATCAAATACATACCAGACACCCCTATTTATAATAATGCATTAGAGGGGCAACATAGTAAAATCGAAATTAAACATTTGAATCTAGATCAAATATCAACAGTTGGTGATAGCAACCGAATCATATTGAGATGTAACAAAACCAATTAAAATGTGTTGCATGTCTTTCGAGGATGTAGGCCACATTTGATACGTGAAACACTTTTATTGTGTTATAATATTGTGTACTCACCTTCAAGATTTCAGGAGTGATGATGTTGCGGCCCTAAGATAAAAATACAGCCATAACTGTAGCTGGCTTTGTGTCAAGTGTTGAATCTTGATTAGGTTGTTAAACCTAAACTAATGTCCCAAGGCTAACCAAGAGGTGTGTGTGTGTGTGGGGGGGGGGGGGGGGGGAATTTTTAATGGGGGTGAATTTGTAATTTTAAAAATTACTCTTGGATTTTAAAATTGAAAACCTTTAAAGATACGAAGCAAGTTAATTTATAATATTTAAAAATAAAATTTTCAACCACTGAATAAAAATTTGAAGTAAATAAAATGCGAAAATTTAAACGACACAAAGATTTATAGTGGTTTGATCAAACACGACCTACATGCACTCCCTGAGACTCCCTCTTCAGGTATTGCACTATTACTAAAAGTGACTCTCCTTTTGCCCCCACAGCAAGGCGGAGAAGCCTTTACAAAACTCTCTTCCACAATCCCCGGTGCGGCAGAGAACTGTCGTCCTTTCACCCCTTTCAAGTGTCGGCAGAGAACCGTCATCTTTTCACGCCCTCCAAGTGTCTGCATAGAACCGTCGTCCTTTCACACCCTCCAAGTGTTGGCAGAGAACCATCGGCTATTCACACTCTCCAAGTGTGGCAGAGAACCAGATCTTCTTCAAAAATCTTCTCACGAGCAATCTAGAAAGACAAGAGGAAGAGTGATAACCATAATTACAAAGAGATCCTTACATTTGAGTAACCTTCTGAACTCTTCACACTCCACCTGCAAGAAATCTCTCTCAAACACTCTCTAACACACTCTCCTTCAATTGCCCTTGAAAAATCATAAAGACAAGATTTTTTTTTCACGTCAGTTTTAGTGAACATTTTATAAAAAAGTCACAAAAAATCATCTAGAAAACTGAATTTTTCAATTTTGAATGTACACGATCGTAAAGTACGATCGAATTTCGTACGTACGAACAGTTCAAAAACTGTTGCGTACGAATCTGTTGTGAATCAGTACGAACCGGTATGAACCGAATTAGAATGGGTATTTGCGCCTTAGATAACAGAGGGATTTGTGCCCTATCGATTATATCTCATTGTTTTAAATCTCAAGAATTTAGTATCATTGGAGGGTATACGGGCTCTGATCATGACTGTAATTTGATGGTGCCATTTGGGAGCAAACCACCCGATTCAGAGGACCCCGGTCATTTACCTGCGGTGCCATTTAGCGACAAATCGCCAGTTAGAGGACACAAGTCACATCCTTACTGGTAGAAGATTATTTGAGAAAGAATCCTAGTGATATTCAAGACCAGACACTAGCTCTATGAGAGCAGAAGTTATTTTCAGATTTGTCAACATCGACAAACTGTTGTGTACACAACATCAGACTACTTGGGTTCTGGTGCAAAGCATCAGGGAATTGAGGAACACAACATCGGACATTGCACGAAAAAAATTACTACTTGGGTTCTGGTGCAAAGCATCGGGGAACTCAGGTACACAACATTGGACATTGCACGGAAATAATTTTCGTGCAATGCCCGTTGCTGTGTACCCTAGTGCCCAACACCTCGGCTTTGTGCACCAAAGTGCCCCGATGTTGTTAACCCGAGCACCCCGAAGGTGCCACTAATGATGTCTATTTGATTTTTAAATAGACCTGCCTGCCATAGTTGAACTTTGTTGTAAGGTGTCGATAACTTTTCGATCACCCTCAAGATTTGACAAAGGTCGTGTTGTAGTTCTGATTTAATTTTAACTCGTTTTCCACCACCACCACCACCAACAACAACAAAAAAAAGCAAGCATAATGTATTTTGAGAGTTTGAGAAGTTCACATTAAGTTCAAAGATTTGTTGATTTTTTTCATCCGTCAAACGGTAAAATCTAGTAAAGTTTGTCATTCTATACCATATATACATATATGTAATGAAATTAAACTTCATTAAACCCACAAGCAAGTTTCCAGGTTGAATGTGAACAAACTACAGTGAAATTCTTGAAAAAACACAAATGATAATCTAAATAAAGACATAAAGCTTCCACCACTATCTCAAACAAGACGTTAAAGCCTATAAACATGACAATTGAATAAAAAGATAAACAAGCTTTCAATCCAATGCAATGAAGCCTACCATACACAAGTGGTGCAATTTATTTCCTGAACAAATGCTACTAAACTTACAACATAAACTTTGATAATAAAAAAACTATTTGGATACCAAAAGCTCATGAGTTTGCTTTCACAGCCATGGGACTTCTGACATAGTGCTTCCCATCTGACCAAATGAGTACGCCAAATGAATATCCTTTTCCTACCCTTCCTTCAGTAGACTCAAAGCGTACCTTAAACTCCTTCTCCTCCCCAATCTCCTTGAATTGCAGGACTTGAGGTTCCACTGAAACCAATATACCTCCAGGAGCTCTGATCCTCGCAGTGTAAGTTCCGGGTGAACCAACGTTCTTCACAGTGCGGGTAACGGTCATCGTCTTGTTGAGGCTAGGAATCGCAAAGGAGGGGTAATTCAAATTCTCCATCAGCGTCTTCTTTATAGGACATTTGTAAGGCTTCCCTAATAACTTCTCGAGTTGCGTCGAGTTATATCCTAAAGCACATAAAAAGTCCATATAATCATCAATGCCCAAATCATAGACAAGTCCTGGATCCATGGCATCGTTTGGTTGTATGTATCCACTTCCATAGGCAAATGGTGTGGCTTTTCTTCGAGTGCGTTCAACTTTGATTGGCTCTCCATTGTTGTCCCTGGTTCTCGCTGTCAACATTATAGTTTAGTTAGGTTGTTGAATGGATTGGGTTAGATTCTATTCTCAAAATCTGCATTGAATCTTAGGTTTCGTTTGGGATGGCTTTTTTAGTGCTTCTTGAAGCAGTAAAAATGCAGCCCCAAAACGAAGCTTTAATTTGGGTGTCCTCTGACATAAATTCTCTTGTGATTCATGCTTAATATGATTGGTGTCCAGAATTATGTAGAATCTGCTTAGGGCACATTTTTCACTATGTTATCTTTTAATTCTCTATCACACTTCTATGTTTAAGAAAATTTTGCAGCGAAAAGCAACTTTCTATAATCATGTCTGCTAGAGCGGCAGTTGTAAGAAAGCCGCCAACTTGGAAAATAATAAAAATTTCTAATACCTAAACAACTTCTCTAAAAGTTATTCTTCCCATAACAACTTTATAGTTATTTTTACAAACAACAAGGCTATAATCTTTCAAATTACTAAAACAGATGGTAAATATAAATTGTAGCAGTAATACCTGTTGTCATGATGGCTGATCTAATTGCAGCTGGGCTCCACTGAGGGTAAATTTTTCTGAGGAGTCCTACGATGCCAGCTACATGAGGACATGACATTGATGTTCCAGACAAGAGGTTAAATGGCCATCGCCTGGTGTCGTATTTTGATGGAGAGATGGGTATAGCTTCAGTGTAGGATGCTAGAACATTAACTCCTGGTGCAGAGATATCTGGCTAAACACAGTAGCGCATTCACTAGTTATAGTGAGCCAAATTAACGGCTATTTAAGAAAATGGCAGTACAAAGACAAAACAAATACATGAAACTCTATAGAAGGATATCAAAGATGGTAAACAAGTACCTTCAAAACCTGGGGAGTTATATGATTGGGTCCCCGAGATGAGAAATCCGCTACTGTAGGCGCTGGTTTAAGTCCTATTACAGTTTTTCCAGCGGAAATTGTTCCTCGAAGCAATCTAGAAGAATAATGCAGATGCTTTTCAGTACACAAAAATATGGAATTGTCTCTGATACGACTTGTTAGGTGAGTGGAATACCAGAAACTTAACTCTTGTTTCACTTTGAATGTGGGATTATTCTACAATTATAGATTCATTTTGAACAACTCAAAAAAAAGTTCAAGGAAAATGACAGATTGTTCTTACTTGCTGGAATTCAAATAAGACTGGAGACGAAGACCGTCCTTATGACTGATCATTGTAGCTGGGATGATATAAGGGTCAGCAACCAATACATCTACACCATCAACATCATTGACATGAATCATACCCACACCTCCTGCACTGTGAACAGCTAAGGCTTTTCCTAACCTGTCAATGCTTCCTCGAAGACAAATGACTATCTTTCCCTTCACCTTCAAAGGATTGAGAGCACCCCGGTGACATAACCGTCTGTAATTATATTTTGAAATCAGAAAAAGTTAATGATGCATACATTCCATAAGAAAAGAGATTATTCAATATTATGATGTACTGTTGACTAATGACATCAAAGTTCTAATTATGGGCAAAGTTCTGTGGGAAGAAGCATATTTTGAAGAGGTAAATGCGCCTAAGAAGCTTCACAGAGTTTTGTGAACATTATGCATGTCTGTTAACACTTCGATATAACTTGAATGAATTTCCTGTAATGACTAAGTTATAGGATTGTTTTCATGAAAGAAAACCATTTGGAAATGGATAAAATCAAATTAAGATGCATGAATCAATAAAAATCTGCTCAAAGTATGACGATGCAATAATATATTTTCAGAATTTGGAAAAGATTAGAGTGCTGAATATTTTTTTTGAGAGGATTCATCTATATGAACAACTTGACCCATAACAAAACCCAGGTGGTTACCATCCCTTAGATCACTAAAGTTAGTTCGACCCCACAAATAAATGCAGGAATGATGAATTTTTCAAGTTCAACTAGCTCTGAAGCACTGGACATTGCTGAAAGATTGATGGAAAATAATAGAAAACAAGGAGCTTTAGTCTTTCCATTCAAAAAGAGTAGTTGCCTTTATTTCATAGTTGATTCTCTTTATAGTCTGCAAAACATTTACTTAGTTGGATTAGTTCTAAGCTAAATCGCTATAGTGGCAGCTGAAGTGTTATGCATTGAATCTTATCGTGTTGATCAATTGGGTTGTTCTGTTGCTTCAACCCTCAAGTTTGTCGTGCTTGCTGGGGGGGTTTTGACCTTGACGCCCCACACCTGCGCGCCCCAACGATGCATACATGCGCGCCGCAACGTCGAACGATAGAGAGCGGAGCCCCGCAACCGTCTAGATACGACGCTGCAGTGGATCAAGACAGAGGTTCAAACACCGTAGCACTCCAAACTAGCGCCACAACGTTGCTAGACGGATTGAACCATTTTCTTTTTGTTTTTTCTCAAGGGTTGCGTCCCTTGGTGGATATAACTTGCTTTCTCTTGTATTTTCTGAGTGTAGACATTGAGAATGGTGTATGTGAGAAGAGAAGCAATGAGAAAGTGAGAGAGAAGAGAGATCTTTATTTATTTCTCCTAATTTTCATAGTAAATTTCTTAGTGTGGTGTGGCTCTATATTTTTTTTTCTAATTTGAGTTTTTTTCCACATTAAATCCTGGTGTCCTTTACTTTCCGCTGCTTTTACTTTCTTGATTGTTTCTTCATTGTGGTGTTTACTTCTCCTCATCTCCAACATGAAGAACTCCATAGAAAGGTAACTTTCACCCCTAGCATTTCTTACGATTTAACCAAAATAGCAACAACAACACAACAACCTCAAGCCTTTGTCCCACTACGTGGGGTCGGCTACATGAATCCTTTTTCTCCTTGTGCCATGTTAAAAGTCAAATTATCATTTAAATCAAATAAAGAAAGATAATTTCTAATATTTCCTAACCAAGTCTTTTAGGTCATTACCAAGTGTTTGTTACCAGCCTAGAATCCTAACTTATCAGTCATTTTATTTTGAAGAAATTGATGCATTATAATGTAATCGAATCAGATTTAATTACTTTGAAGATATTTTGTTTACATTACCAAGTGCTTGTTACCAGCCTAGAATCCTAACCTAAACAAATACATTAAAGATGAGAATTGTATCTTACGCTTTATGTATAGAGACATTGTCAGCCTTGGCGTCAAATGAGTTGATCAAAGGATAAAGCTTTTTTGATGGCAGTTCCCAAACAGTCCTGCTCTTTCCCTACAAAACAAAAAAAAGAATTAGTATATTTGCATTTTCATGCAGCAGTTCATATATATATATATATATATATATGTGTGTGGGCAAGAACTAACCAAAATGTGCTTCTTATTGCTAAGAGTGACAATGTTGGTTAAATCTCTGTCAAGTGAGCTGGCTGCCACTGTTGTCACCCATGGTGCAGAATTTTCAACTAAGCCATTAAAAGGACCATAATTCCCAGCAGAACAAACCACAGCAATGCCATTTAGCATAGCGTGGAAAGACGCCAAAGCAATTGAATTGCTGAAGTAGTCGAAGGAAAAACCACCAAGCGAAACTGAGAGCACGTCGACGCCGTCATGGATGGCCTCATCAAAGGCAGCCAGGATGTCGGAATCAGTGCAACCCAAGGGCCAGCAAACTTTATAGGAAGCCACACGAGCTGCAGGTGAGCCACCCTTGGCCGTGCCATTGGCAAAGCCAAACAAGCTAGCATTGGGCACAAAATTACCGCCTGCTGTGGAGAGGGTGTGTGTTCCATGGCCATCAGTGTCCCTTGTTGTGCCATTGGGCGTTATGCCTACTACTGATTTATAGCCCTTGTTAAAGTATTTTGCACCTATCAGTTTTCTGCATGAATAGAACATTAGAAACTGGCAGAATCTGAGAATCATAAAAATGTTACTTTTCATACTATATCTGTTGCATTTAAGTGATAAATGGTGAATAATACCTGTTGCAGACAACCCCAGATTTATGACAGGATCCTTTCCATTTACCTGGGATTTCTCCCATTCCATCGTCAGAAAAACTTGCAGATTCAGGCCACACACCTGCATCAAAATTTGATTTTTAAGTGTGTTAAAGAGAGAGAAATAGGTAAGTTTAGGGTTTATGGACTGATTTGTTGGTAAATGAACAAAGAGAGTTAGATGAAAATAGCTGAAGGTTGAAGATGAAGCAACCTGTGTCAAGATGAGCAATTATTACATCTTTTCCATAATTTGCCTTTGTCCAGATAGAATCTGGAGGAACAATTCCATTTCTCTCCAGCCCAACAAAATCCCAAGTTCTTGTTGTATGCAGTTGCTTGAGCTGGTTTGGGAACACGGATATCACATCTGGGTGTTCTATGGACAGCGAACAATTGAAATTTGAAGTTATATCAGAGAGAAGAAAAGAAAAATCATAAAACGACTTTCCTACAAAATTGATGCCATGAAAGATTTATTTTCATATTTTATTACATTCTCACATTTAAATCTTGTCTATTTATAAATTAATATTCATATATTTTTTTAACTATTAAATTCATATATTTGCCCACATCACAATCTAATCTTTAAGAATTTGATGAAACCAAATATATGTTGGGGCTTTCTTGTGAATTTTAATTTTTCGTGTGAGAATTTAAAAATTCAAAATAATAAAATATTGATTTTATAAATAAATACAAATTTGAATATTATGTTTGTTTGTTTTTTTCAACTTTAGATCTCCTTTGAATTCATGTGATGATTGTTTAAAAGTTTTATGTTAGCTGTTGACTACTTAATATAACCTTCTATTTTTTTATCCAAAACTTAGGACTCGACAACAACAGTGCTAAAACGTGAAAAACTAGAGTAACTCCAATGTCTGATAAGATTAGAGAGAATTATCTTAGATTTTTTGGTCACATAAAACATCATCTGTCCGATGTCCCTACCGGGAGAGTGAATGTATTTGAACTAGCCTATATTGGAAATGTGGGGTAGACTTAAAAAAACTTGGTTAGAAAGTATTGAAAATGACATTTTTTTTACATTTAAATGAGAATTTGGCAATTAATAGAGTACAATGGTGAAAAAGGATTAATGTAACAGATCACCCCATATAGTGGGATAATGGCTTGTTGTTGTTGTTGTTGTAGATCTTTGTTTTTGTTGCATGCCATAATATTCGTGTCAGTATAAAGAATATTTTAGCATTATATTAAATCTAGTACTTACAGAGATAAAAGAAGAGTCAGAAGAGACATTAGAATTTTTATGTGAAAATCCCAAAAAAAGAGAAACCACAAGGCTTAGCTCAATTGAAATAAATCTACGAGTATACGTCATCAATTACAAATGATACTTTTTCTCACAATTGGGGAAGATGCATTACAGTAGACAAAGACTCTATAGAGTGAATTCCATGGTGAAAGTTGGAGGTTGAAAGAGTCACATGACTATGAGATTGTCTTCAAGAAATTGTTCGTTGTATGTTTAGTAGTTTTCCTTTCTAGATAAAGATAAAAAACAACAAGTCCAATACAGATTTTGGTGCTGACATTGAGTGTAGACAACCTGCATCGGTATCACAATCAATAAAGTGTGTTAACTTTATTAGTGATGATAGGCGATGAAATCAATAGGTGTTGATGTGGTCAGATGAGAATGATTAGGTGATTGAAGTCAAACAATGATGGTTAGAGGATCATAGTTGAGTGATAGTGATTAGATGACAATAGTTGGTAGATGGTGGTCGAATGATCATAGTTGCTTGACGGTATTTAGAAGATCGTAGTCGGATGATGGTGATCAAGGGTTCATAATCAAGTGACAATGGTTGAGATACCATGTTAGGTGATTGTATTTAATGAACCGTAGTCAGACGATAATGATAAAAGGTTTATAGTTAGGTAATGATGGTCGAAGGATCGTAGTTGGACAATCGTAGTCAGATGATAGTGGTTAAAAGATCATATGGGGACCAAAGTCGAGCAATGAAGGTCGAGGACCACGTTAGAGGACTATAATTGAATATGGTTTAAGGACTAAATTTGAGTCAATATGGTTGGGAGACTATAGTTGGACGATAGTGGTTGAGGAATAGCGGATGATGGGGGTTGAAGAACCATATTGGAGCAATGATGGTCAGAGGACTGTATTCAAGCTATGGTAGTTAGAGGACCTATTTGAGCAATGATAGTCAGAGGATTGTTTTGGAACATGGTAATTGGAGACTCTTGTTAGGTGATGATGAGAGGATCATAATTGGCCAAATGGTGGCCAGATGATTGTTATCGGGTGATGGTGGTCTGTTAATGGTGGTTCAACAATGGAGCTTGGATGGTGACTGTCTAATGTTGACCTATGCAGTGAATTAAAAAAAAAGTCAAAATAAAATCAAACCTCGTATCCGTTGAATCCGCGAATCCCGCCCAAAAATCCTGCGTACCTGCTCTGCTCCGCGATCGCTTCCGGATTTCTCGCACTGTAGCTCATCTCGATCGCATCCCGGCCAGCGTCGTTAAAACGAGATGGAAAGCCCTTCATTCAGGCTGCTTCGCTTCTCCCACAACACGCAGAGATCCCGACTCCTTCCTCCCTCCCCGCGGCTAGCTCCACCGAACCCAATCGGAAGCTCCGACTTTTTCCCGCAAGCTCCCGTCTGCGAATAGGTGTTCCGACCCAGTCCTCCACTAAGCCGAAACTCCTCTTCTATTCGCTAGATGCTGCAGCCGACCCAACCGAGAAGTTCTGCTTCTCCGACCAAACCTCTTATACACGAACCCATATAAACCTCCACACCCCAACCAACCGAGCTTCTTCAACACCGATGGCTTCAATCTCCCATAGCCGACCTTCTCCATTCAAAGTCTCACCCGACTCCTGTAATCGAACTTTGAAGTCGGAATCCCTACAACCAGTCGATCAAACCACAAACTCATCGAGCCGACTCCTCCTGCCCTCTCCGATCCATCCATAGCTGACGCCTCTTCGTGCGAGCTACCTCCATATCCCTCTTCTTCACTACTGAAGCTGACCCGAACCTCACCCGATCTCTCCTCCCCATTGCCGACCTAGCCGAAGTATCTTCCTACTCTGCCCTAGCCGACCACTGTGCGGACTCCCCATAGCCAGCCGACTTCAACCTCACGCAGACGCCAAAAGTGAGGTTGTATGGAGGATTAAGTTAGTATTAATTGTTAATAATAGTTATTATTATTAACATTAATAATGTCATTTATAAGTAGTTATTACATTATTATTATTATTATTATAATTAAATAGTTATTATTGTGATTATCTATTATGATCATATTATATATATATAAAGGTATATGTGTGAAAAAGAGAGAGAGAGAAGGGTCCAAAAAAAAAAGAAAAGAGTTAAAAAAAAAAAGAAAATAAAAAGAAACAAGAAAACAAGAAAAAAATCCAAAGAAAAAAAGGAAAAAGAAAACGAAAAAAAAGTAACAAATAAAAAATTACGGAGTGAAGAATTTTTTGTATTATTTTATGTATTTTGTAATTTGTGTAATTTCCAAATTTTGAGAAAACTTGTTCTGACATTTGCAACGCAATGAACAATCACTCATGCACGTTTTTTTAGCACGGTGGGAGGGAATTCTTTGTGACGCTCGTGATGAGGCTGGGAATCTCCTAAAGTCCTGTTTTCGATGTTTGCGGCGCACCGAGGGACCTCTTATGCACGCTTTTCTTAGCATGGTGAGAGGGAACTAGGTGTTGCGATTACGACAAGGCATGCAAGCCTTGTGCGCATGGCTTTACACTTAGATAGAATACAAAACGATCGAGTATATACATAAAAAAGGTTAGAGTATATCTAGTTGCATATAAGATTAGAGAAAGTCACCATAGATGATTCGGTCACATAAAACGTCAGGCTTCTAATGACACGGCTATGGGAGCAAATATATTACACCTGACGTATGTTAAGAAAGGTTGAGGTAGGCCTAAAAAACTGATTAAAATTATTAGAAATGATCTTTTTATCAGATTTAAATGATAATTTGATTCTGAATAGAGCACAATAGAGAAAAATGATTCATGTAGCCGACCCCACGTAGTGCGATAAAGGTTTGATATTGTTGTTATTGTATTAGACATTTTCATTCATTTACGTGACAAAAATCAAAAGAAAAATTATATATATATAAATTATTTCTTGTACTGACTCACTTGAGATCTGGGCAACCTGGTCCTCATCTAGATATGCAGCAAAACCATTGATGTGTTTGGTAAAAGAGTAGACGATAGCTTGTTGAGCCTTCTCCTTGCTGTTCAAAATAAATATGAACTGATATTACTTCACATCAATAAAAGCCTAAGGAATTTGAAAAGGGTATTGATTACCTTTCAAAGAAGTATCCCAAGAATTCCTTATGAAAATTAGTCGCTCGGTTGAAATCTTCTGCTGTTGCGTCTTTTCCATGATAATGCCCACCAAGATACACAATGTAAACCTGTGATTATGACAATATGTTATTAAGGACATATTTGTAAGGGCATCTTCAACCGAAAAACTCATTTTCCACTCCAAAATGCAGTAATACATCAAAATGTAGTAATTTGTCTCCAACCGAACTCCAAAGGCTAAATATTATATGCATGTTCTCTCAAAATAAGTGACAAACATAAAATTTTATATTTATTCTTATCTCTAACATTATATCAAATATGATATCTTCACACACTGCCTCTTTCAAAGATTCATGAATGATTCTATTTATGGAGGTCATGAACGTATTTGGATATCACCAAATCACATAATTTTTGTATTTTTATTACATCTAATTTCTCATCTTTGCGTATTGAAAAAATTGCGAACAATGAAAGGCAGAGAGGTCAAGATCAATAAATTAGATGGTTGAAATTGCTTTTGGTGACTAGAAGATACAAATAAAAGATTATTTTTACAAGGAAGTCCTTTGAAAGGTTGAGGCATTCTATTATTAATCAAGATGAGTGATAGTTAACGGACAAAAAAATACTTGAAGTTATTCATATGTGCTTTAACAAGAATGATGTCTTCAATATTCTTAATGAAATTATCATAATTAGCATGATGAAGGTATTATCAAACCTTACAAGAAAACCTTTATTATGAATAAGGTATATTTATGCCACTACAGAAAAACGCCTTGTTTCTAGCGGATAGATCGAATCTGCCGCAACAATGAAAATATGTTTAAAATGTCTATTTTTCGGTAAATTTCAAGCAAAAATCTATTCAGCGGTAATTCACGCGTTGGAAAATTGAAAAAGATTATAGTAAGTTCTAAGGCAATAATCATACTAAATTAGTCCTCAATGAACTCTCAAAATGGCTGATGTTCAATGGGTACAGACCAGTAAAAAAGTTACATAAGCCAGCCAATCCTAGAAAGTCCTAAAAATGATTTCATTGGTTTGTGATATGCTATACAATATTGTGGGCGATGCCTTTAGAATGTTAGAATAGAAGCTTATGTTGGTGATGATTTCATATTAGTTACTTTTCTTGTGCTCTCACCATAATGAGCCGTAGCCTCATTTTACTACTTATAAGAAATAAGTAGAGATGTACTACTTTTTCTTATATTTTATTACATTCCCTATAAAAATTTCCTTAAATCTAGGTGTTTTTATGATGATTAGAATACTCATTACATTAAGCTTTCTATCTCAAATCTATCCACAAATTAGTAAAGTTTTTAAAATAATATAAATTATATGACCAATCTCTTAGTCAAAATTTCAAATTAAATGAACATTCGTGATCTTTTTCTTTTCTTGTGCTCTCACCATAATTATGCGTAGCCTCATTTTACTACTTATAAGAAATAAGTAGAGATGTACTACTTTTTCTTATATTTTATTACATTCCATATAAAAATTTCCTCAAATCTACGTGTTTTTATGATGACTAGAATACTCATTACATTAAGCTTTCTATCTCAAATCTATCCACAAATTAGTAAAGTTTTTAAAATAATATAAATTATATGACCAATCTCTTAGTCAAATTTTCAAATTAAATGAACATTCATGATCTTTTTCTTAGTTGGGCATTTGGATGTTGGCAAAGTTCACTGTGATAATTATTTTTTAAAATATTCAAAATATTTCATAGTTATTTTAAGTGCTTAAGAAAACAAAAATGTTTAAAAAACACACAAATTTCTTAAAAATAAAAAAATAAAAATAAAGATCTCAAATTGACCCTTAGCTATCCAACCATAAAAAATCCTTACAAAATAAATGAAATACAACCATAAAAAATCCTTACAAAATAAATGAAATATCCAACCATAAGAAATCCTTACAAAATAAAGGAAATAGACCCTTACCTATCCAACCATAAGAAATCCTTACAAAATAAATGAATGTATAGGACAAAAGATGAGCCAAATAGAAGCAAAATGTACAAAGTAAGTCTAGCAATAAAAGTCTTTTATTATAAAGAATAAATTGACTTCACTTTAATTTTCTTTCGTTTAACTAAATAATTACTTTTTTATCTTTGAAAATTTGCTCGTTACTATTCACCCAATAATTCACCATATATTTTATAAGGGAAACATGAAAATTTTTAATCTCAATAATTTGATTAAACTTTGATCATAATTAATATTAGAATTTTTATTCGATTTAAGAAAAATATAATATTGAATTTTTATGAATTACGTGAATTTTAAAATAAATTTTAAATTTATCCTAATTAGAAATTTAATAAGAATATCTTTATCTAAATTTTTTCACTTAAAATTATTTACGTTCTAACCATACATCTAACTTTGCATTATCTCCTCCTTTCCTCACATTTTGGACTTCTTGCAATATTTTATTTCCATATATAAAAAAATAATGTTAAAAATATTCTATATAGAATTAGAAATAATTGAACTAATTAAATTTAAGGAAACATCCTCTATTTAAAAAAAATGCTAATCTAATTAATTAAATATTTAAAAAGATAAAAATAGAGAGAGAAAATTATATATATAT